CATACATTTTTAGTCACAGGGTGATGCAGATTTTAGCCTAGATCGGTCACATTGTCACAGCTCTTGCCATATGGTCACTCTGTCAGAACTGATATGTTGGTAACCATGGAGCTAATTTGCAATGTTTTCGTTGTTTTACGTTTTTTATTATTATGTAATTTCACTGTTGTCACATTTCGTAATCCTTTCAGAATGATTTAGGTTACTAATCCGCTTGTTCATCATCACAGGTGGTGCAAAAGCATGAGGAACGAGGAAAGGTGTCGTCAATTAGAATTCGGAAAACTTTACCCAAACCTCAGACCAACCTGACACCCATGGGCCTGCCCAAACCCATCAGGTAAATACTAGTCTCTCCACAAGATGGAGTTTGTGAGTATAATCCTGCCATTGGTCGCTTGTTTCAGAATCAATTCTCCTCCCCTTGCACTATCTGTATGTCCAGGTTTTCAAAAAAAGCTGGTGTTAGGTGAAATGAGTCTCACGTAGACAGATCTATCTCCACACTTTGTTTCTGTGCTATGCATGAAACAACGACAGCAACCCCTGAGCTAGCAACGTAGACGCTAAAACGTCTTTTAATGTTTTATGTGGCTCGTTTGTCTTTTTTTTTGTTTTGTGTGGATTTAGCCTCTTTGTTGCATCTGGGGCTTAGCACCCCTAAGACAATCGTGATCGACTCAAAGAAATACAAAGAACCCAGAGTGTGTTTTTCCCTTAGTGTGGCATTTTGATTGGTTCAGCCAGACCTTTCTCCAGGGCTGACAGAGCACTTAAACGAAGTGTGGAGACATAGTAGGTCTGGTTATGTGAGACTGGGTGAATATCCAAATACATGAGCATAGAAGTTGCAACAAATTAATCTCAACTCAAAGGTCCACATACTCACTGTTTTTTATTTATTTATGTTTTTTGGTACTTCAGATGCATCTTTCGGGGTTGACTGGTGAATGGAGCTGGCTCAGGTGTCGACTGGTCAAGAGTTAATGTTCTTTTATTGGTGTTTTGCTGCAGTTTAAGAGTACTGACCAGCTCAATGCTCAACAGACATATTTTATTTGTTATTCCTGTTGCAGCCAGGAGGGTCTTCATCTTACGCTTATTTGTTTTGTAATGACTGAATATGCTGCATTTATTCATGCACTCAACACTTATCAAAGGGTTTTACTTACTCTATTTCGCCTCATTGTTTACCTCAGCAAATCAAAAAGATGTCGCTGTCTTCTTGACTTCCTTGCCCATAAGCAAAATGAGGAAGTTTAGGTAGACAGACAGAGTTACCTATGGCTGTACTTGGCACAGGTAACTGTAAAAAAAAAAAAGAAAAGGTCACCATAGCAAAAATAAAGTATTGTTAATTGCTTTGTTGCCATAGTATCTAAATAAATAGTTGTATTATTTACCTAGAGGGTAAATAGTAACACACAGCAAGTTCAAAGGGAAATCTTAAGCAACCTGTCTGGCTGATAACCAAACACTGGGTCAAATGCAGTGGTATATAAAGTCTTAATAGATGCAGCCATTATATGAAAGTACTTCTGCAAACATGCAACACTCTGCCTTGCATTAGGTTAGTGATTAAAATTAGGACAAATTCTATGGCGTCACACTTTGCCCTAACATGGAAAATGAATTTGTGTCAGTCTCATTACATGTCTGTTGTCTATTGACCATTGATCAATATTCAGATTGATTGCAACAGTGTTTTTTTTTCTCTTATGTTACATCACAGGCTGAAAAAGAAGGAGTTCAGTTTGGAAGAAATTTACACCAATAAGAATTTCAGCAAACCCCCTGAAAGGTAAGGGCAATATTACAACACTAACTGTAAACACATGTTACATGATGCATATAAACACTCACACGATAGGTATATCATAAAGGTTAACAAGTCATGAATGTTAAACAAATATAAATACAGTCAGACAACATAAACTTGAGCTTCACCCCATAATCCCTTTAGACTTTGGAACAGAAAACTTTATCTATGGCTCTATGCTGTGATCCTGGACATATGAGGCTTGGGTGAAGCTTTGCTGTTAACACGCTATAGACAAGGCTAAGAGAAACTCTATAGCCACACTAGGAAACCTGTGATGCTTTAATGCTCATTACACACTACAAAAAACAGTAGTATGGATGAAAGAATGGAGGCACATGCTGTTTCCCAATTTCATACTTCGCACAGATTGTTAACAGAATATACTTAATCTTTAAAGTATACTGTTTTTGCACATAGTTTACAGGATGTCAACATTAGCTGTTTTATACTAACAGGAAATGGTAGTACTTGTGCAGTTGGCCATCAAACTTTAACTTAAAGGAGTACTTCACCTGCAAAATGGTAAAACTGTATATCAGTTACTCACTGCATTAAAGAAACTGTTTTCACTGTTCCTCCACAGTGAATGGAGGATCCAAAAAAAGGCGAATATTCTTCATGAATTGAAAAAAAATGGATTTTGCATTTAACACAAGGAGATCAATATCAGAACATCAAGTTACAAATTCTCACACAACTAGTGCAGTATAATCCAAGTCTCATTTATCCAGTTGTATGCTCAGTACTTCCCAAACACATGCATTTTTGCTGAAACATTTAGACACAAATCACTTTGTACAAAGTCTCATGCACAGACAAGTAAGTATGTCTGAACTCTGAGCTCAAATGCGCTGGCATGCCCAGGCGTGCTCAGGGCATATGTTGAAAATTGTGTTAAATAGTAAGATTTTTGGAAAAGTGCATGTGAAATGAGACTTGAATACTCTCATATGTTGAAAATTGTGTTAAATAGTAAGATTTTTGGAAAAGTGCATGTGAAATGAGACTTGAATACTTGTTTGACAGTTTGTTAACAGATGTTTTGATATGGTTTTACTGTTGTTAAATGAGGACTCTGATAACTTCAATTCATAGAGAGTGTTCACCTTTTTTGGATTCTTCACAAGCATGCAGGAAAAACAATTTTTTCTCCTTGAGTTCAAGTTAACACGTGATGAGTAATTGATTTACCAATGGTCATTTTACAGATGAGGTATTCCTTAATAAAGCCACTGCCAGTTAAACTTCACAAACAAAAAGCAAAACAATTTCTCCCCAAAAAACTTTTCTTCATTTCCTTCATGCATTGCATTGTGCAAGTGCCTTTAGGGTACTTCAGGGTTATTTTGTCACTTATCCAGTGTGAACATACTACACACGTAGTAAAGATTTGGGACACAGCTTCACCATCCTCACTCAGAATGTTGCTGCTAGTAAAGCAAAGTCTGACCAGATGGTGGCACCAGAGGAAATGTTGTCACAGGTGATATTTAGTGTTCTGTGCTCTCTTATCTGGAATGAAAAAGTGACGTTTGTGCTTCATTAAAAATTACTTGCACTCCCTGAACTACCCGAATTTGCTCACTGACTTGGAATTTATGGGTTTCAGCCGGCTGGAGACCATATTCGAGGTACCTCTCAATCGCAGAAATGGCTCTGAGTCCTGGTTTGGCCAGAGACGTGTCAAACGATTTTTGGAGTTCCTGGAAGCGGGTGAGGCCAGAAGACCAAAGAAGCCACTTGCTGGCATTGGAAAGGCAGTAGCTTCATCTTCCAGGACGAGACGTGGGGGCTCTCCTAAAGACGAGCCATCCCTGAGCGCGCAGGATGTGGACTCACTTCTCTGTGAGAAGCTCGAGCAGCTGAATTTGTGGTTGATACGCGATCAGAAAGACAGTTGACAGATGCCGCCTCAAACAGTGATTTTTTTGGCAGCCATTAAACAAACACTGCAAGAGACAATTCTGTCTAAGACTGTTTCTAATGTGTTTTCAATACAAAGATTCACATGTGACTCTTCTAGCTCTTTTTGTCAGCACAATCTGTGTATGATTGTTGTGGTGACAAGTTACTATTGAAGAGTTACCTTTTCATTCTGTAGCATTTGTAGCCTACAAGTTGAAGAACAGTACATCATAGCATCAGTGTATTGCCTCATAGAAGGTGGTTATAGATATAGTGGTTAAACGCATTATACAGGAAGTTCCTTTTTTGTCATGACTGCACTCAAACCTCTGCCGTCCATTTTTCCTCCGGCCACTTTCCATCTAAAATAAGTGAAACTGTCTAAAAAAAAAAAAAAAAAAAAAGTTGACATTTTTGATTTAAACACTTGTATAGTTTCATAACATTTACATTGTATCCTCAGTTTTTTTAACCTCAGATGTACCCAGAGTGATGACGCCGTTTTCTTTACAATGACAGTTTCTTCTCTAAAAATGCTACCGCAGAATGCATCTTATTTCTTTTGCGCTATCGCGTTTGAAAGAAGGTGCATGACATGAGTACACATCTTGCAGCATTATTGTAAGTTAGACCATAAAGGCAGCTATTTTTATTAAGTGCTGAATATAACTTTTAAACATGCCAGGAAGAGATTTGTATTCGCTGCAGCTAATTTCACAAACAGGTGTCTGTCCACAGACTCTATGTACAGTCAAGTGTGTCTGCAAGCAGCATGTGTTAATCATTTTACACGGCTCCGTTCTCTACTCATTTATCAATTATTTGTGTTTGTAAATTTCATGGCTGAAGAGGTTTTAGTTGTATAAAGCATAACTTAGAAACAATACGGCACTCCAGAGAGCATTACTAATCAAGAGTGGAGGTGTCCAGATTCCACTGCTGGTTGGCTCTCTATTCCCTGTGGCTCTCTCTGGATTATTCTGTGGTGTCTATATTTGTATTGCAAGTGTAACTTCTTGATAAACTGCCTATGTATGTACTTTTTTGGCCAAATTTTTCTGAGGTTGCCTTAACTACCTTTTTTATGAGGGTGTAATAAGATCCTTCAAGCAACTCAAAGCACAAACGTTTTTGTTGTTTTTATTATTAAGTCGTTTGTTTATATGTTTGTATAAAAGGACAACATAATGATACATTTGACAATGATAAAGCTAATATGGTAACAATGCAATAGTGCCAAGGTAATGTTGGCAACAAGAGCAGAATCTTGTACTGATGAAGCACTGCCATGCCAGTTTTTTCCAGTAGAGACCCAATCCTTGATGAAAATGTTTATGTTGCTCCTTTTTAGATTGTCAGCTTGAATAATCCATTAACTTTTGTAGTATTTGCAAGCATATATAATTTCTAACAATGAATGTGTTCAACTGTAATGGCGTTTATGGTTCAGAAACATCAAGGATTGGGTCATTACCGGGGAATGACAGTTCTAATCTTTAATATATAATGTATATTTGTCAGGTAGTGTCATGTCTCAAACTATAGTCAATGCTGGATTTTATATGGTCATTTAGATTTTGAATTGTCTATTGTATATTGTTAAATAAATATTACAGCATATAAAAAGACATCCAAGTTTTTGACACTGTTTTCCAGAGTGGTTGTTCCTTTGTGTAAAAACAAATGTCTAAGAGGAAGTATAAAATAAAAGTGTAAACTGGGACAGCCGTCATTTTATCAGCACAAGAAAGACTAAACCAGTCTTTATGTTCTCCATGGAAGCACCAGTCTCTTCATATCTTCATGGCTTTTAGTCGTTGATAAGCACCTTTGTATTGTCTGCTGTCTGTCTCCATAAGCATCCAAAAGTCACTCCTCTGTTACTCTTCTGTAGAGGTTTATCAATGTTGATTAGTCTTGCAGAGTGAGGAGATATGAGATCAGCGCCATCAGAATGGGAATTGCAGCCAGAATGGAAACCAATGTCACAATGGAGATTATGCTATTTTTCTTCGCCTTGTTTAAAAACTCTGTAGCTTTCTCTGGATCTGTTGTCATCTCAGCCTGTGGAAGTGAGGACAATATAACATTTCAAAATAAGGTTTTAATCAGGAAAATATTATGCGAGTACATAATGAAACTAATACCACTGGCAAGCAATAATATAGTTTATAATTTGGTTCTGTGATTTAAAGGACACAATTAAACCCTTGTGTTTACACTGCCTTCACTCCTTCATTGAGGTCCCACAGACCCTGATGTTGTGTGTGTGTGTCTGTGTGTTAAAATAATTACTGCAAAATCAACAAGGTTCCCCAAATTTGGCTTTTAAAGTTTGAATTAGGTCACACTGAAATGGCCATGAAATATGTCCTTATTTGGTGTCATTACAGTGCTGATGCATTTGATGTGGATTGTCTGTGACTAAGTGCCACAGACCAACACAGCAGTGTATTTGGAAACATGACCATGCCATGTTCAGGTCACAGACACCATAACTCATTCTTACAAATGAGTTTACATCTTTCAAACTGTCACTTTGATGCAGTTTAGCTTACAGGTGACACAAAAGAAAAGATCCAGATGCTAAAATACCTTGACTGAGTGTATCAGAGCCTTGATTCCAATGCAGGAGATCCCACAGATGATGCTGCAGATAGCGAGTTTCCTGTGGTACGGGTCGTCGTTGCAGAAGGCATTGCATATTTGAATTCTAGTGTCATTATTTTGCGCGTCACCTGCCTCTGGGATGCCGTTCAGTGGGTCCGATTCATCCACCTTTTCATGTGGTGACGCAGACATTTCTGCAAAACATAAGAAATTAACTTCATTACTAAAATGACTTTTAAGTGAGTAATGTACAAATAAGGGCTGAAAAGAAAAGGAAAGTTTTAGGATTAGTCTGAGTGGCCGCTTTACGGCTTTGTGTTTGTTCACAGTTGATAGAATTGTTTGTTTTCCAAGATAAAGAAACATGTAAGGAACTGGTTTTACCCTTTGTGTAAGGGCAAGCCCCGCCTAGGTAAATGTTTAGTTAATTAAAATTTGTATACTTTAACGTCCTAGGTGAGGAACACATGTTTTGAATTTAGAATATTGTACAGAAACAATAGGACAAACTTTCAGTGCCCACACAGATTGTATTTGGTCTTTTCTCTTCTCTTCTATTTGTGTTCCTGTTTACATTCTGAAAATAATAACCCGATTACTGACTCCATTTAATGTCACAATGCCACAGTCTGACCTGTATAAGGCACATTCTGCCAAAACACAGCTGGAAACCCTGATTTTTTATGACTGTTAATACAGTGACAAAACCCCCAAAGAGGCATGGTTTTGTTAAAGTGTATACTTATTTAAAATCACAATGATGACAAAGCCAGAATCACCCGGTGTAATTAGGGTGCCAACATGGCCCACAGGGAATATAAGGTGTTTAAAAGGTTTTTCAAAGGTTTGAACTTGATCTCCATGTGAATAACGCTTTACTTCCCTGTACTGACTGCCCGGGTGGTGGAAACTGCTGCTGTGATTTATGCTATAAACAGAGGTATGTGTTCTAAAGTTGACCTTCCGGTCCCTGTTTACATTGTATTAATAAGGATTGATGTTTTTACCATGAGCAGTTTGACAAGACAACCCCACATAAATGTTTTCCTACAAGTTGAAACATGTTCCTCAAAAATATTCACCCAGTATGTTCTCTCTAGTGAGCATGGGAATTTCTCTGAAGTGGGTATTTCCAACAATAAACAGAAAGTACCCTTTGGATGGCGTAACACGGGGCAGAGTGGTAAGTGTTTCTCAGAAAAGAAAACAAAAAAAGCTTGACAAACTTGTATGATCACACTTAAAAAAAATGTTAAACTTCCCGCTTGGCTGGCAAGTTGTCATGGCGACATGATATGAAATGTAGTTAATCTTATCTCTGATTTGGTCAAAGCACGGTATGCAGCACGCCAGTGTACTCTGCATGTTTGTTACTTTGGGAAAATGCATAAACAGGGAGCTGGACTGGGTTAGTCATGTATTGCTGCACAGGCCTGTGAATCATTTGTAAAAGGTGGTTCTCAAAGACAAAGAGCTTTTAAAACTTAAATAAAAAGATCAAATTGACCGAAATATAGACTTTTAAGACAGTTAAACCTCATTTAAGGGTTAAAATCTTTCTTTAAAGTACAAACCTGATCAAATATAAAAGGCACTGTTCCTCAATCTGGAAACACTCCTTCAGTGAAACAAGTGATTTCTCAGTTAGTCCAGATTCAAAGTGATATTAAAGTCTCAGTAAAATGTGTTGTCTTCTTGTCCCTTAAACAAAATTCCAGTTCAAGGCAACAGCTGCCACATGAAGCTTCTTCCTTTGGATATGATGTTTTCTGTTAAGATTTCCACACGTGGTCATCCAAACACCACAGCTGACATTGTAGTCCAAAAGACAACAGCTCTGCAGCCCAACCTGTCCCTGTGAAACCCCAGTGCCATATAAGTTGTTGAATGACAGGACTGCGAGCCAGGAGTGAAACTCAGTGTGAAACTTCCACGCCCATCCTGTGCAGGCTCTTGCCTTCTTTTCTGCCTTGCCCTCCCACGCACAGTCGTCAAACCCTTTGGTTCACTCTGCTACATTAGTTCTCATATTCTGTGTAAATGCAAGTTGGGCTTCCTCTCTTCTTCGTTCGTCACAGTTGTCACATACAGTACAGTGCAACAACCCTCCCCTCACTTATTTCCCATGCAGCATTCCAGAGGACTTGGGAAAGGTGTGTCAGCACTTGTATCGCCTCGGGGTGAAACAGCCACAGATTCCAAGCGACCTCACTGTCTTCTAAATTTATCTTGGAAAAATAAACAGGTTTTACATTTTTATCTTTCATGCAACAGCTCATTAGCTTTTTGCCCCATCACAGCATCTTGTTTCACTTTGAAACTTACACTCTTCTCTTGGGCTGAACAGTTTTCTTGTTGTGCTTCACAAGAAGTAGTTTTTCTAGTCTCCTGCCATCCCTCTGCTCTATGACCCAGAGATAAGAAATATTTACTCTCCTTGGCTGAGTGACTGATGACTACCTGACTGCATTTTTGAAGAGCTGACGCTACCTGTTGGACACTCTACCAGTCATCACAGACAGCTGAATCTTTCCTCATTGTGGAAAAGGTGCATGGCATCAGCTGTGGCTCACATGCTCATTATTAATTATTCATCATCATGACAGGTGCACTCCTCTGTGTTTAAAGAAAGTAGAACAAAGATAAGTGACACCCTCGGAGCAACAAGTACAAAATTATTCTCAGAAAATGTGTTTTTTAGCTGTGGATGCACGTCAGACCTCAGTGAATTGGGATCTTTTAATCTTGTTACGACTGATTTTGTGTTGCAACTGCAAAAACAAACTCACCTCGTCTTGCATCTGTAAATTTCTGGTGCTTCCTCAAAGTAATAATAAAGTTTGGTCATTCTAATGAGAGTTACAAGGACTGATGGAGATGTATGATCTAAATGTGTTGGCTTAAACAAACAGGATGCTCAAAGAGGGTCATGAACATCATAAAGGCAGGTCTCTGACTCATGCCAGCGGTCATCTCTTTGCTCTTCAATCTTCCAGCAGGAAGTATACAGGAACATCCTTACTCAACACCATGATTCATTAACAGTTTCTTAACGGGGCCATCACTTATGAATATAAATATAAATTAATAAATTAATGTAAATGACCACAGCTCAAAAACTGTATCCCTCCATTTCCTCCCTATCACACCCCGCTCCCCCAGCCTCGTCTGTACATAAGATCCAAGCATGACAATGTTAGTTGATTTGTGTGGGTTAACCTCTTTGGTCCAGACTAAGAATATTTAACATCTTTTGGATGGATTACCATAGCATTTTGTAAATATTCATGTTTCCCAAAAGATGAATCATACTAGCTTGGTAATCTCCTGACTTTTTCTCTAGGGCAGTGATACTCAACTTATGACCCATGAGACAAATTTGGCCTGCGATAGGGTGCCTGGTGATTTGCCAACCACTTTGTAATTCACAATGAAAATAAAGTGATTCATGGGATTTTTTTTTGCACTTTTGTTGTATTGCAGTCCTCCCCTCTCTCTCCTTTCATATCTGTTTCTCACTATAAATAAAGCATGAAAAATGTCAAAGAAACACCCCTGCATAAGGACAGCACAGTCCAATGGTTGAAGACACAAAATTTCTTAATTTTTTATGTATGTATGTGTATATATATG